TGAAATCAGATATTCTTTTCCTTGTTCTCTTTAATGTAGTGTAATTTTTTGGCTCTGGCTGCTTATAAATTATTTTTATATTTGTTTTTCAGCAACCTTACTATATTGTGCTGTAGTGCTTTTCTTTGAATTTATCTTTTAAAGGGGGCATTTGCTAACCTTTCTAGATTTTCAAGTTGTTGCTTTAATCAAATTTTAAATTTTTCATAGTTTTCTGACCTATTTTCTCTCTGCTTCTGGGATTCCAACTACACACATATTAAATTACTTAATGCCGTACTACAGACTATTAGTGCCTTGTTCATTTGTACTATGATTTATTTTCTCTGTGCTTTAGTTTGGATGATTTCTGCTTATATTTATTTAATTTCAATAATCCATTTTTGTTTAGTGCCCAATATATTGTTAATTCTAACCAATAAATATTTTATTTTAGATACTATATTTTTCAGTTCTTGGATATCCATTTGGTTTTGTTTGTTTTTATAGTTTCTAAACTTCTTTTGGTAGTTCTTAAGTCCTATTAATCTTATTTTGTTATACAACCTAATATATCAATTTTTAAACCCTTATCTGTTAATTCCAACTTCTGGGTCTATTACTACTGATAAATTTTTCAATTGACTTTGGTTTATATTTTTCTGTTTTTAAACATTTCTACTGATCATTATTGTATTCTAAACTCTGGAGAATCCAGATTCTGTTACATTTTTCCAAAGAGTATTGAGTTTTGTTTTCATAGTCCATTAAATTACTGACAAATCACCGTGAACTTGTCGAGCCTTTGCTTCAAACTTTTTAAGGATAGGTCTATTTCGATTGTGCCTTTAACCCTAGAGTAAATGTCTCAGTTTTAGAATACCATATTTCCTCCTAGGCAGGGACCTTCTAGTATTACAATGGAAAGCCAGAGGTATTTAATGAGACCTTCTGATTAAGTGGGATTCAAACTTTTTGTGATGGCCAGCAGCTGAAATAATCTGCTCAGCCCTTTCAACATTAAATTGTTTCACCCCTGGACTCTTTGGAGTTTCATGTTCAGTTTAGGGCTCAGCCAAAAAGTTGAGGGGGTTTTAATATGTACATTTTATCTACCTCCATCCCCCATGACACCCTTTCCAGAATATCCTTCTTCAAGTCCTAGCTACTCCGGTAGCCCCCAAGTCTGTTCTCTGCTTCTGAAACTAATGAGACTGAGAATTTTACTTGGTTTCTATTTACCCTGCACTGAGTGGTGTACAAGGCCCTCAAGGAAAGAGCTGTTCAAAGGTGAATCTTGTCTAGGGTAATTTTTTTCTTTTTTCAAGAGTCCATTTTCTTCCAGTTTCTGCCTGCTTTTGATTGCTCCCCAGTGCCTTCAAATCTTTCACTCCTTTTGTGGACAGTTTATCATTGTTATCTGTGAGAGATCTATCTGAATCCAGCTGCTCTGCCACTACCAGAACTGGAATTCTCCCCATAATGGACATATAATTTGAGAAATCTTTGTTCCTTTATCACCAAGATTTTTTTTTAACCATGGGATTATTCCTATTGCTATATAGTCTGACAAATATATAGCTACTAATTTGCACAGAGATCATTTTTGAGAACTTTCAAGAGGACTATTAATGGAGTCCTACTTCCTTTCTATCTACTTAGTATCACCTTCAGATTAATGTTTCTAAAACATAGCTCTGGACTCAACATAATGTAAAATAGAATCTTCAGTGACACCCCATCACCTGCTGAATAAAATCTGAGTTCCTTAGCTTATCATCCAAAGCTTCCACTATCTGGTCCCCAACATTCTGGTTGTCTTCCCTAAGTTAGCATCATAGAAAATCATTTACGTAAAAATTCCTGGAATGTGACTTACTCAGGATTAGCAGTCTTAATACTAGGACAACACAGAGCTTAAATAAGACATGATTAAAGTTTTAGATCTTTTAGATGCATTCTCCTGTTTTCGTTGTGGGTTTGTTGTTGTTACTTTGATGTTTTAAATATAGATTGAGGAATGGGACACACATTACATATTTTTGTACGTACAATTTAAATCTTTAATGTTTGCACAATTAAAAAATATAAATGATGAGGAATTATCTGAAAACTCTTAAGACCATTCCTGCAGCAGTCTTTTACAATGCTCCCATCCTATTTTTGGAAGATGAATTGGGGGCAGCGACCACACTGGTTGGTAGAAATCAGGTACACAATTTCAAATATTGCTGTAGGAAGGAAGTTATCCTGTAGCTATTACAGTAACATGGATTTTTAAATGTGTTCATTTTTAAAATCCATATGGAAATATCCCAGCCTTTGGAAGTTTCTGTTTTTGAACACCCAAGAAGAAAATCCTCTAGTGTGTATGTAAGGCAGTGGTCATTTCTTATGCATTCCCGTATGCCTGCAATCTAAGAGACTTAGTCACATTTTACTGCACATTCACAGAAGTGGAAAGAACCTTAGATTACCCCAACTCCTTATGCAATTGTTTGGCAGCCTTGTACACATAGTAGGTTCCCAATGAATACTTGCTGAATTAAAACCAATTAAAATTACATTTAGTTTTCTCGTTGGACTTTCAAGTATGTTCAATTCAGTGTGAGTTATAGATAAATCTATAGTTTTGTGTTCAGTTTCACACCATGCAAAAGGCACAGAATGCTGGTTGCCAATGGAAATACTGGCTGTTAAAGTAGAATGTTCCTCATTCAAATAATGTGCCTTTGCTTATTGGTTCCAAAGAGCACTTTTAGCATCCTGTTGGACCACCAGTAAATTATATTGCAAATTGATGTTTGAACGACTCTGGCCTTAAGGCACACTGATACTGTCAGCCTTCCTGAATTCTTCCAATTCCACCATTTTGGGAACCCATTTTACCAGTGCTAGCATGAGGTTTTTCTTGTGAGCTAATAACAATAATTGCCTTCTATATCATAGGGTTGTTAATAAGGCTTAAATAAGATAGTTCTGTAGTAGGGCCTTAAATTTTTATTTTAAAAGTGATAACCAACTATTTAAGATACCATGCAGCATCATGAAATGTTATATGAATCGGTTACGGTCTTTACCAAGGGTATTGATTGCCTTTGTGTAATTATCTGTACCTACTTATATTCACTAAGAGCCTCCAATTTTTAAAAAAATCATTAGATTATTATAATGATAGGTTTTCATTTCTTTGATAGATTTCCCTATTCTAGTACTGTTTATTGTTATTATTACTAAGATTTACCATAATGTTCCTGAGAATGTGCTCTAGATTAAATTATTTTAATTACATTAAGCAACACACATTATTTTTATTGAGTATTTACTGTAATTTACTTAGTAAGTCTCAACCAAGGGAGCATGATAGTCCTAAGCTGAAGGGAGTGCTTTAGAGCCTGTTCACTGCTTTACAGTTATCGATGAAACTCCCTCTCTCCTTTGTCTACATGTTTTCAGTGACCCATGACCCAGTCCTCAGACCTCTTCTCATTCCAGTCTCTGTTCACTCCGTATGATCTCATCCAGTCTCATGGCTTAAAATAATGACTACAAGCTGATTACATCTCCAGCCCAGACCTCTCCTTGACTCCAGACCTGTGTATCTAATGCCTTAGATGCTTCTCAGGCATCTCAAACCTAACATGTCCAAAACTGAACTGGGGTAGTTTTCCATAAACCACATGCTCCAACTGTCTTCCTCATTTCAATTTATGGCAGTTCCATTTTTCTTAAGGGTTCAACTCAAGAATTTTAACGCCTCTAACTCCCCTCTCTCTTTGATCTATCACCAAATGCTAGCAGTTCTACCTTTAAAATGCATCTAGACTCTGACCACTTCTCACCACTGCCACTTGCTGCCACAGTGACCTGGCCTCCCTGCATCTGTCTTAGTCTGTTGAGTCGGTTGTCAACATAGCAGCCAGGGTGATCTCGCTAAATGTAAATCACATCAAGTCATTTCTCTTCTCAAAGCTTTCCATCGCACTTAAAGTCCAAGTCTTAAATACAATCTTTACTAAGGCCCAGTAGGATCTGACTCATATTAACTCTTTTTCATTATCTCCTATTTTCCACTCATTCTTTCTGTTCTTTCATACTTGGCTATTCCTTAAACATGCCAAGTAACCTCCCCAACTCTGTCCCTATCTCATTTGCTTTTCCTTCTATGTAATGTATTTTCTCCCCAAGATATCAACACAGTGCCTTCATTTCCTTCAGACCATTAGTTAAAGCATCTTTGAGTAAAATTTTAAAATGTCAACATCCTCCCACACCTTCACCATGTTATATGCTCCTTCCCTAGCACTTACTACTGTCCAGCATTTGTATATTTTACCTAATTACCTTGTCTGTTAACTGTTTCCTCCCAATTGAATGAAAATTAATGATAGCCTGGACTTTTGACTATCTCATTCATTGCTATATCCACAGTGCCTGGTACCTAGTGGATGTTCTGTAAATTTTTTAAATAAATGAATAATAGAGCTAGGCTACAATTTCACATTTTGCCAGTAGATGCCTCTCTCTAAGCGTATTCCCACATCTGAATATTTTAAGTTACAGTTTGGTCTACAATATGAAATAGTTAAACATTAACATTTGTATAATTGAAAGTCTTCCCACTAAAATCACGTGTATAGATGGTGAACAGGCATAGCAGCTTAAACAACTGCAGGAAAGCCTTTGAACAATGCACTTTATTGCTGCTGTGATGTCTAAATGAATGTTGGGCCATTGCCTGAGAGGGCTTGGGCAGCTACCAAAACTTTCAGTTTAGAGGAATGTGGCTCTATGTATAAGAAAGTCAATATATGCAGTATTAATCTTATCTGTAATCTAAAATCCCACATATGTTAAACTGACTATTCCTGTGCCTATGTTATTGGTAAATCTTGTTTGTCTTCTATTTTTTTGTAGAAATTTCAGGGCAGGAAAGATGAAGTCTCATAATCTGATTATACTTATTAATACTTTATATTATTGTAATAGTCTTTAATAGTTTTTTTTAAATTATTATTCAGGGCAACACAACTATTTATGTGCTGGAAGAAATGATTGCATCATTGATAAGATTCGACGGAAGAATTGTCCTGCCTGCAGACTTCAGAAATGTCTTCAAGCTGGAATGAATTTAGGAGGTAAGTTTTGGGTTTTTAATTCAATAAAAATTGTTAATATGTCATATAATACCACTATGTTCTCTATACTCCCAAAATTTAAGATGAAGCTAACATGGAGCAGATTTCTAAAAATCTCATAAATTCTATACTTGTTCTAAAACATTTCAGTATTTCTTTCTTAGCTGTAGTTTAAAAGAAGTATGTTACGTGACTATGGTCCTAGGAAAGTTTTCAACCTTGAGTTTGCTAAGGTTTTGAGAACTGGTAACATATCCAAAACCAAAATAAAAATGAATGACTTTTTATATAGAGCTGTAACTAACAGTTTTTATTGTAATGTCTATTTAGAAATAAGCCCTACATGTGATAACATTAACCAGATAGGAATACATTCCTAACTCCAGGAATAAATGTACTAAAGGAAGACCTATATGAAAAACACTTAAAAATGTCATAGGAGCCCACCAAAAGACAAGGGGTTGTGAGGGAAGGTGGGGTGGAGGTGAGTGGTGGTTAGAAGCCTTGAACCAAACACAGAAGTATACAATGTCCATGGATGGGAGGATTCAGCATACTAAAAGTATTAGTTTTCCCTGAATTAATTTACAAATATAACACAATCCTATAAAATTACCAATGGAGGGAAGCCTGGTGGCTCAGCAGTTTAGCACCACCTTCAGCCCAGGGTGTGATCCTGGAGACTTAGGATCGAGTCCCACCTCCGGCTCTGTGAATGGAGCCTACTTCTCCCTCTGCCTGCCTCTCTCTTTCTCTCTCTCTGTCATGAATAAATAAATAAATCTAAAAAAAAAAAAATACCAGTGGGTGATTCTAAGTTCCTAAAGAGCAGCCAGCAAACTTCTGGAAAAGACAAATAATGAGGGCTACTAGCTCTACCAGATAGCAAAACATACAACACAACTACAGTAAATTTACAGATCTGTTTGTTTATTGATTGTGAGACCAACAGAAATTAAAGAAATAAATAAAAATAATATGAGAATTTTGTATGTGATAAAGTTTTCATTCCAGATCAGTAGTAAAAGGATAGATTATTCAACAGAAATTGTTGTGACAACTGGGAAGCCATCTGGAAAACACAAAAATTGAATCCAAATTCATACTATCCACCCAAATAAATTCTAGTCTTTCAAAGTTTTAAACTTGGAAATAAAACCACAGACGCACTAAAAGAAAACATGGATTTTTTTTTAACACTCTCCAAGTGGAGAAGACCTTTTTAGGTATAAAACTCAGAAGCTATGAAAGAAAAGAACTGAGGAAATTAACAGTATTTACAAATCAAATAATACTGCAAAGTCAAATAAGAAACTGGGGAAAAGTACTTGCCACTTATAGACAACGGGTTTATTTCTTCCATAAAAAGCTCCTTTAATTCCATAGAAAAAGAAACCAACTTACTATAAAAATGAGATTGAGGGGCACCTGGGTGGCTCTGGTTAAACATCCAGCTCTTGATTTCGGCTCAGGTCATGATCTCAGGGTAGTGAGATTGAGCCCTCCATAAGGCTCCACACTGGGCATGGAGCCTGCTTAAAATTCTCTCTCTCTCTCTCTCTCTCTCTCTCTCTCTCTCTTTCTCTCTCTCCCTCTCCAAAAAAAAATTGAACAGAACTTTTATAGACAAAAGAGATACAGTTGGTTCTTGAAACATGAAAAGATTCTCAATCTAATCATAAGAGAAATGCAAATTAAAAATATGGGATATATTTTTTACAAATGGCAAAAATAAAACATTTTTATGATATATTGTTTGATTATATAGAAGTAAAGTAAAAGTCAGTGGTGATCTCGTGCATTTTAGGTGAAAGGATAAGGTGATTCAGTTGCCCTATAGAGAGCAATGTAGCTATTTCAGTAAAATGGTAAGGGGCACATACCCTTTGACTCAATGATTCCACTTCTAAGAATTTATCCTAAGTATATTTTTGCAATGTAAGAAATGATACATTCATAAGGCAGTCATTATAACATTGTTGACTATCAGAAATACATTCAGTATTCATGTGTTCAGGATTGGTTCAATAAATTACAGATAATCTTCAGACAATAAAGGAAGCTGTATATGGACTGATCTTCAAAATATTATTTAGTTAAAAAAAAACAGGTTGCAAAATAGGATGTTTTGTCTCCTACAAGTGACCTGTTTTAGGAAAAGAATTTATATTGTATAGAACATTTCTGGAATAGTTTACAAGGAACTAGTAATGTTGGTTGTCTCAGTAGAAAGGACTGAGGTGGCTGGGAGACAAGGACAGGCAGGAGAATTATTGTCACTGTGTTCTCTGCCAAGCCTTTGAATTTTGTATTGTGTTTAGTGCATGTATTGTGTATACATATTACCTAATATTTAAAAGAAATAAAGTAATTTGAAAAAGAAATGAGACTTCATCCTTTGCTTTGATAAATGTACCAACTAGCTGGCTAGTCAGGATGAGGAGGAAAACAAGGCAGCATGCAGAGCAGAGCGGCCCTTAGAAATCCGGAGTGGGCTTTCGCCAGATGAGCCTGCTCATGTCTGAGTGTGGCCGGAAGATGTCACATTATAGCTCAGCCAGAGAAGCTGGTGCTGGTTAAGAGGATGGACTCCAGAGCCAGACTGCCCACGTGGGAACCCTTGTTCCTGCACTTCCTGACCCTGTAACCTCAAGCAAGTTACCACCTTTCCATGCTGCATTCCCTTACCTTCAGTTTGCAGTAATCAGATGCTTATCACATGGGCTGGGATGAGGATTGAATGAGTCCCTGTGCAGTGAGAAGAAAGTGATCACTCAGTACATGTCAGTGGTTTGGTGGGTGGTGGCAATGCTCACTGTGATTTCCATAGCCCTTTCACACGCGATCTGAAAGACATTATTGCTCCATGTTTTGATGATGGTGAACCTCAGCCTAGAGAGGCTGACTTGCCCAGAGATGCCACAGCCAGCGAAATAACAATGCTAGGTGTTAGGGCTCAAGACTCTTGGTCTGGTGTTTCTAGTATAGCACACTGTTCTCTTGTTCTGTTATCTGAATCAGTGCAAATGTGGCACAAAGATCATCTTCTTAAATATGTGAGGGAGGGTCAGGAGAAATTAATCATTTAAAATCTAGATGGCACAAGGGTACTGCCATTGGTTGTTAAATAAACCCTAAATCAATTTTGTAAAATCCAAAACCTGAATTTAAGTATACATACACACTACTGGAGGTACCTTTTAAAGCGTCTATATGTAAATTTTATTTAACTTTACAAATACTGTAAAATTTGAATACAGAAATATTACTATAAATGTTACATTATTATATTCTATAAATATAAGTACTATTGGTTATTATAAAATAACAAAATTACCATACGTATAATTCCTACCTCATTGGGTTTTGTTAAGGAGTACCCAAGCCCTTACATAACCCTTAAAATGGGATTTTTTAACATTTGCATTGTTGACATTTTGGGCCAGATAGTTCTTTGTTCCAGAGGACCATCCCATGCAGTGTAGTTTGTGTATCAGCATCCCTGGTCTCTACTTAAAATGCCGATAGCAAGCCCTTCTCCCCAGGTTGTGACAACTAAAGATGTTCCCAGGCTCTGCTAAATGGACCCTGGGTGGCATCAAACCCACTGGTTTAGCTATAATACTAAATCATTATAAGCACTTTTCAGTGAGATATTTTCTGCTACGATATAAATTCCATCAGGGTAAGAATTTTTGTCTGTTTTTTTCATTGCTTTTTTTCCCCAGTGACTAGAACAGTGGCTGGCACAAAGTAGGTGTTCAGTAGCTATTCGTTGAATGAATGAATGACTAACTGGCATTTTTGAGGGCTTCTGCATTCTAAGCATTTTGCTAGGCCTTTAGATGTGTCCTCCTTGGCAAACCTCATGTAACAATATGCGATACATACTGTTAAATCTGTCCATCTTGGAAGTGAGTTCACGGAGACGCAGAGAGGTTAAAGAAGTAGCCTAAGGCCACAGAGCCAAGGGACTGGCGGAGCCAAAACTCAGACCTTGGCCCTGGCACTGGACCCTGTGTCCAACATCACTCTGCAGTATGACATAGGTCTGCTATTTGTAGATTGGCGTTTTTAAAATAATCCAGACTGTCCATTAGTGGCAGCCACGACAGCCTGCTTTTTCATTTGTGTCTATAATGACCTGTAAGTGAGATTTGGCAGAGGACCCAATACAGTTCACATAGTTTGTCATTGGTTTCTGCATATGCAACACAGGTCCTGTGGGTTTGGGTGAAACATTTTACCTAGAGCGAAGGCATACTGCAAGTCTTGAAGCACTGAGTCAAAAACAGGCAGAGAGGAAAATAATATTTATGAAAATACTATTTTCTTCAGGCACAAGTTATAATTTAACCACTTCTGGCTCATAGATTATTAAATCCTTAAGTTTTGGGGATCCTTGGGTGGCTCAGAGGTTTTTAGCACCTGCCTTCGGCCTAGGGCGTGATCCTGGAGTCCCAGAATCAAGTCCCATGTCGGGCTCCCTGCGTGGCGCCTGCTTCTCCCTCTGCCTGTGTCTCTGCCTCTCTCTCTCTCTCTCTCTCCCTCTCTCTCTCTCTCTCTCTCTCTCTCTCAAATAAATAAATAAAATCTTTAAAAAATAAAATAAATCCTTAACTTTTACTAATTATCCAGTTGCAGCCATGTACTTTGTAAGTTTTTCTTTTTCTTTTGTAATTTATTTTGAAGCCTCGCTTTTTTTTTTTTTTTTAAGATTTTATTTACTTATTCATGAGAAGCACAGAGAGGAGAGAGAAGCAGAGATCCCGGGTCTCCAGGATCACTCCCTGGGCCGAAGGCAGCACTAAACCGCCGAGCCACTGGGGCTGCCCTGAAGCCTCGCTTTTAGTTTCAGTTTGGGCAATAAGAAACGCAAGCAGTTCTATTATATTCAAAAATGATAACATGAATTTTAACCTTTTAGTGTGAAGCAGTTTTACAACGAGTCAAATTAAAGCCTATCTATACATGTTGCGATCACCCCCAAATTTTCTTAA